GGATAGGAGTGATAGGAGTGCGAGCACGTGTGTGGAAAACAGCGGTGCACATGTGTGCGTGCGCATGTGCGTGTGTGTGCGTGTGTGGGCATTTGTGCATTTGAGGAGGTTGCGATGCAGCAGCGGACACAGGGGCTGACGTTGGGGCGCGCCGTGCCCTGAAGAACCCTGTGGGGCTGCGCCCCCCCCCCTCCAACACACGGTCGTAGCTGCAGCCAATCAACCACCCAGCAACCCAGCCCCTCTGCTATTGCTGCGTACCACGCCCCTCCCCAACACCCCCCCCCCCAAAAAAATAAACCAGGTACTACATCCTGCCTGACTCCCTCAACCTGGACACCCTGCTGGTCGACATTGACAAGCCCAAGCAGCGGCCCACGCGGCCCCCGCGCGCGGCCGGCGGCGGCGCAGGTGGGCTGCACGGGAGCTGAGCCTGAACCTGGGGGCAGGGGCGTTGGGAGCGCGGGGCCCACGCAGCCGCGCTGCGAAACCCCAGTAGCGGGGTTGAGCGACGCAGTGGCTGTGCCGGCTGCTGATGGGTGCGGGATTATGCATGCATGAGGCTCAGCTGGGCGAAGGGGAAGGGTGTGGGGGTGCGGATGGCGGCCTGCATGCGTTGCGGCTGGCACGTTCTCTGGCACTGGCTGACGCATGCATGCACGCCCCACTCACCCTTCCAACCCCGCAGCTGCGAGAGGCAGGGGCCGCGGGAGGGGGCGCGGCAGGGGCCGCGGGCGCGGCTAGCCGCAGGCGCACGGCGCAGCGCGGCGCGGCGCGGCGTGGCAGCCACGCGGTGGCCCAGCTGCCCGGCATCGCAACGTTTTGTGGCGCAGCACTCGACAGAATCCGTCGAAGGCCAGCGTCAGAGCCGCAATGGCGCCAGGCAAAACACGGGCGGCCTTGCACTCTCGTCGCCTCGCCCCTCGGCTATCTGGCTGCCCTTGTGGCTCTGGCCATTTCCCCTCAGCAGCTCCTGCTCCTACCCGCTGGTCACGGCTTTGTTCCGCACCGCTGGCTTTGTTGCAGCACATGTGTTATCGTGAAACCGTCGACCCACGCAGGCGGCAGGCTAGGGGCTTGAGTCGTATGGGCGCACGGTTGCTGAAGGGGCGCGCTGGGCAAGCCGTGTGGGGGAGGCGCTCTGGGGCTGGGGCTGGCATGTGTCGCAGCGGCGGCTGCACCAGTTGCCAGTGTCCGCGCAGACTCTCAGTACAATTACATCAAAACAACACAGGGGCCCCGAAAGCCCCGCCCCGCGAGCCGGCGGCCGCTCAAATCGGCGGGCGCTCAGGCGGGGGCCGGGGAGCAGGCGGGGGAGGAGAAACATAACATGAATGACGAGGCGAGCTCCAGGCACGCGGGCAAACCAGGAAGCAGGTGACGGCGTGCGAAAGAAACAGGCGGGCGACGGCTCGGCGGTGGCGACAGCAGCGGCGCGGGCCCCCATGCGTTGGAACGCCGTCAGCGTACGCGGCCACCAAAGCGCCCTGCATAAAGCACTCGCGCCGCCGGCGCAGCCTTCAAACTGAGCCAGGCCGACGCCCGCTAAAGAGCGCCGCCCGCCCGCGCCCGTCGCCCCCGCGCCCCGCACGCCGCACTCGCCATACGGCGCCGCTCACGCCTTGTCGGCGCGGTTGAACCTGAACTTGGGCTTGTCGGCCCCGAAGTAGCTCTCCTGGTCGCCGAAGGTGTCGCGCGCGATCTTGCGGAAGCGGTTGAGCTTGTACCCCGGGATGAGCTTGTCCACGAGACCCTCCTCGTAGGCCTCCTTCACACTGAAGTAGCGCTTGCTGTGAGAG